TAAACCTTACTCTATCCTGTGCCAACCTCATTGTCTGACACACCTGCTCCCATTAACCCAGTCACTGAATTGATCCATCTCATCGAGGATCTTCCTTTCTTGCGCTGTCCCTCCACCCTGCAAACACAATGTCCCTCTCCAAGGACTGGTCCTTCCTTGCAACATGCCCAAAGTATGCCAGACAAAGCTTCAGAATCCTTGCCTCCAAGGAGCAGCATGGTTTCACCATCTCTAGGACAAACCTGTTTGTTCTCCTAGCGGTCCATGGTATATTCAAAACCCTTCTCCAGCACCACAGCTCAAAGGCATCAATTCTTTTTATATCATCCCTAGTCATTGCCCAGCTCTCTAATGCAAAGCACACAATTACAAAGACTATGGTCTGCATCAAGCACATCTTAGTCTCCAGACTGCCATCATTGCTTTTCAGTACTCGGGAGAGGTCTGGAGAGGTCCCCGACAGCTGACCTTCCCGATGCAATTCATCTCTTGATTTCTGGCTGCTGGTATCAAGAGTGTTGGTTGTGGAGCCAAGCAAAACATGGTTTAGAATTATGAGAGGTGTGCATCAGGACTGTATCCTTGTTCCCTACCTATTCAATATGTATGCTGAGAAAATTATTTACGAAGCTCGATTCTATGAAGAAGCATTTGAAGTCAGGATTGGAGGAAGACTCATCAACAACCTACATTATGTAGATGACACAACCTTCTTTGCTGAAAGGAGGACTTGAAGCATTTGTTGCAGCATATCAAAGACTTCAATATGGATAACATTGCAATGCCAAGAAAACAAAAATTTCTGAGACCAGACCAATAGGCGACATCAGGATGTTGTTGTTGCCATTGTTCAGAGTCGTTGAGTCGAGTATAACTCACAGCAACCCTATGAACAACAGATCTAAACCTTGTCCTATTCCACGCCATCCACACAATTTGAGAGATACTCAAACCCATTGCTGCAGTCACAGTGTCAGCTGACCTGGTCAAGGTTTTCCGCTCTTTTACCACCTCTCCGTCTTCCCAAGCATGATGACCCTTCCCAAGGAATAACCTCTAATTGTGGCATCAGGATTGGTGGAAGATCTATTAACAATCTGCGTTATGCAGATGACACAACCCTGCTTGCTGACACTGAGGAGGACCTCATGCACTTGCTGCGAAGGGTCAGGGACTGCAGCCTTCAGTATGGACTGAGGCTCAATGTCAAGAAGACAAAGATTCTCACCACTGGACCAATTGGCAGCGTCAGGATGGATGGCAATGAGATTGAGATTGTTCACAGCTTCGGTTTGCTCGGCTCCACAGTCAACACTCTTGGCACCAGCAGTCAGGAAATCAAAAAGCGTATCGCGATGGGAAAGTCTGCTGTTAGGGACCTCTCTAAAGTACTCAAGAGCAACGGTGTCTCTCTGGAGACTAAGGTGCGCCTGATACAGGCCATGGTATTTGCAATCGCTTGTTATGCCTCAGAGAGTTGGACAATGACTAAGGAGGACAGAAGGAGAGTGGATGCTTTTGAGCTGTGGTGCTGGAGAAGAGTACTGAATGTACCATGGACTGCCAGGAAAACAAACAGATTCATCTTGGAGAGGATTAAACCAGGCTGCTCCTTGGAGGCAAGGATTCTGGGGCTTCGTCTGACATACTTTGGACATGTTGCCAGGAGGGACGGGTCCTTGGAGAAGGACATCATGCTTGGGAGGGTGGAGGGACAGCGCAGGAGGGGAAGACCCTCTATGAGATGGATTGATTCGGTGACTGGGGTAATCGGGATGGGTGTGTCGGAGGCAGTGCAGTTGGCGCAGGATAGAGCAGGGTTTAGGGCTGTTGTGCATAGGGTCGCTATGAGTCAAAAACGACTCGACGGCACATAACAACAACAAACAACAACAGCTACATGTCCAAAGTATGTGAGAAGAAGCTTCATCATCTTTACCCACAAAAAACACTCTGGCTACACCTTCTTCAAAATATGTTTGCATTTTTGGCAGTCCATGGTATCTTCAGCAATTTTGTCCAACACTACAGTTTAAAGGCATCAGTTTTTCTGTCATACTTAGTCATCCTCCTGATCAATTTTTTAAAAAGATAATAAAATTAAATGGGGGGAAAACAAAGAGGCCAGGCTAGGGCCTCTTTTATAGAACAAGGTACTTGGGTACCTTCTCCGGAAAGCAGTACTGTCCCTCCACCCGTCTGAGCATGATATCCTTCTCCTAGGACCAGTCTCTCCTGGCCACGTGTTCAAAGTATAGGAAAGAAAGCTTCAAAATCCTAGCTTTCAAGGAGAAACTTGATTTCACCCTCTTCAAATAGTCCTATTTGTTTTCTTGGTAATCCATAGTATGTTCAAGTCTCTACTCCAGCACCGCAACTCAGAGGCGTAAATTCTTCTTCTGTCATCCTTAGTCATTGTCCAACTCTCTGATGCATAGCAAGTAATTGCAAAGACTATGGCAAAGATTTGGTGCACTTTAGTTTCTAAACTGACATCATTGCTTTTCAGTACTCTGGAGAGGTCCCTGACAATAGTTTTTATTTTTTTTTTCTTTTTTCTTATTTTCTATTACCCCAGTGGCTCCTGACAATAGTTTTATCCAGTGCAATATGTCTTTGATTTCCTGACTGCTGGTGGCAAGACTATTGATTGTGGAGCCAAATGAACTGTAATTGTTAACAGCTTCAATCTCTTCTCCATCTATTATGGTGCTGCCAATTAGCCCAGTGGTGAGAATCTTTGTCTTCTTGATGTTGGGTTTCAATCCATATTGAAGACTACAGTCCTTGATCTTCTGCAACAAGCACTTCAGGTCTTCCTCACTTTCAACAAACAAGGTTGTGTTATTTGCATAATGTAGTTCTTACTTCCACAGAAAGAACTTTGAAATGATCAGCATAAAATAAAGGCCTGGAATAGATGAATTTGGAGAATGTGTTAATACAGAATCTTGAAGAACTGAAATAATGAAAAAGTAGGAAGAGATGCCAAGATAAGATATTACAGTTGTTTTTGTGTCCTATAGAGATGATTCTGACTCATGTCAACCCTTGTAGAAATTCCCCAGAGAATTTCCTAGGCTATAATTTTTATGGGAGCGGATGACCAGGTTTATTTTCCTACAGAAACATTGGTAGGTTTGAACTGCTAATATTTTCTGGCTGGCAGCCAAGTTGTTGTTGTTGTTATGTGCTGTGGAGCTGCCTGTGACTCATAGCAACCCTATGTACAACAGCTCTGAACCTTGCTCTATCCTAAGCCAACCTTACTGTTTCTGACACACCTACCCCCATTACCCCAGGCGCTGAGAATCCATCTCATCATGGTCTTCCTTTCTTGCCCTGTCCCTCCACTCTCCCAAACATGATATCCCTCTTTAAAGACTGGTCCCTCCTTGCAACATGCCCAAAGTAAGTCAGATGGAGCTTCAGAATCCTTGGCTCCAAGGAGCAGCTTGGTTTCAACCTCTCTAGGATTAACCTGTTTGTTCTCCTAGCAGTCCATGGCATATTTAACACTCTTCTCCAGCACCACAACTCAAAGCAATCAATTCTCTTTCTATCACTCCTAGTCATTATCCAGCTTTCTGATGCATAGCATGTAATTGCAAAGACCATGGCCTGAATCAGCCAAGTAGTTAACCATAAAAGATTAGGAAGAAATAATGACATTAGTTTAGAGATATTAATATTCTTCTAAGTGGTATAGCACTGGTCAGTCCATTTGCTGGGCAGAGGTAATTCGTGATTGCTGTAATGCTAAACACTGTGACACTGATGTGTCAAATGTGATAATGGTTACCCATAGTGGACAATGTTTGGTGGAGCTCTCTGATTAAAACAAGCTTGGAAGCAGGAGTGGCATCCACTTCTGAAATAGCTAGTTTCTGGAAACTCTATGAACTTGGAGAAACAATGAAAGTTACACAAGTGTTCAGGTTTTTCGTTCATAGGATTGCTATGAGTGATCTACAACTCATGGCACTTAACAACAAACAATAAATGATTGATGCAGGAACATCAAAATGAGATAGAGGGAATACACAGAATCATGGTACCAAAAAGAGTTGACCTAACAGTGAAATATTTCAGGAAGTACCATATGATCAAGAACTGATGGTAGTGTTGCCACCCAGGGACCTCCTGGTGGGGCTTGCTGTTTGAGTCAATAGGCTTGGAGTGGGGGCGGGGGGAGAACCGATGGTAACGATGGAGGAAGTTCAAGCTGCACTGAAGCCATTGGCCTAAAATAAGGCTCCAGGAATAAACGGGATGCCAATTGACAGGCTTTAAATAACAGATGCATCCCTGGAAGTGTTCACCAGTCTATGCAGGAAATTTGGAAGACAGCTGTCTGGCCAAATGACTGGAAGAGATCATAATTGTTCCCATTGCCAAGAAACAGAACCCAACAGAAAGTGGAAATTATCAAACAATAACTTTAATATAACATACAAGCAAAATAAGACTTCATATCATTAAAAAACAGCTATAGCGGTATATAGAGAAGGTCAGATGAGAGAGTGAAACCAAGCTTCTCCTTGGAAGCTAGGATTTTGAAGCTCTGTCTCACATACTTTGAACATGTGTCCAGGAGAGACAAGTCCTTGGAGAAGGACATCATACTTGGAAGACTGGAGGGACAACACAGGTGAGGAAGACCCCAGATGAGATGGACTAATGTAGTAGAAATCGGAGAAAGATGAGGCAATCTCTTCCCCTAGAGATTTCTGGTCCCAGAAGCCTGATGAAGGGTCTCTAGGAGTTGTAATCAACTTGACAACAGTGGATATGGTTTGGTTTTTTTTTGTTGGATATTTTATTGGAGTTGTGTCAGCAGTAGTATAGTCATATCTGAATTATGAAGTCCAACTATGAGGGTAGACAGAGAGGCAAGGAGCAGGAATTGGAGGTGCTTGTATTTGGAAATGGAGTAGGGAAATTGACTAGAGGTCTGGAGAATTTGGATCTGTCCAGGGTACTGAGGATGAGGGTTGCTCTTAGGGCTGCTGCCAACAGCTTAGTGGTAAGTAGGAATGGTTGGCAATGTGGGTGGTACAGCAGGACCCTGGTTCAGCCATGGTTGGGGGCACAGACAAGGGCATGGTTCCAAGACAAGAAGGCTGCAGCCCTCGGTAGTCCATCTGGACCTGGGAGGAACAAATGGGTATGGGAGTCCTCTCTGAAGACTTGGGTAGAATTTCAAGGATGCTGGGCTCCACTTCTTCATAAGCATCTGTGACTTCGGTCTTGGGCTGGGTGAAATGAGAAGAAAGGAGTCTGTATTAGAGTGGGTCCTGTGAGAAAGCAGGCTAGATTATGTAGAAAGGAGAGTTTGGCTAGGGGTAGGTTCTGGGAGTGACATCCTGCTGGGCAAAGGCTTTGGAAAAGATGTGCTAGGGGCCAAGGCAGGGCTTGAGGTGAGGGCAGGAGTGGAAGCAGGAGAAGAGCGCACTCACTGAACTCAGGGCTGCGGTCTCTCTAAGGTACTGGCCTAGGACCCTGTGTAGATCTGGAAGTGAGGGCCACAGGGCATGCCTCAGGCTCCTTGAGGAGAAGAAAGAGAAGACTGAATCATGAGAGGAAGTTGTGAGGGATGGATAGCCCTGGACACACTTAGGCAAGGGAGTAGACTTGAAGGATAAAGCATAGTCAAAGCACTTAAGTAAGATAAAGAAGCAGTAGGTGAAAAGCAAATCTCCAGTAGGAAATGGGAGACAGGACAGGGAAGGTGACAGAAAGGTGGTGTGGGAGTTTCTCAAATGTTCCTGTTTCAGGACTTTTGCACTTTCTGTTCCCTCTGCCTGAAATAATCAACTTACGTTTCTGCTTTAATGGTGGCATGATGCTGGTGTGTTCCATGTTGGGCTGCTAACGAAAAAGTTGATGATTCAAATCTACCAGTCACTGTGAAGATGGGCAGGCCTCTCTTGCTATGACTGACAGCCTCAGAAACCCCATAAAAGGTTGCCAGAGTCAGAACCAAACTGATGGGAATGGGCATTTTTCTTGGAATA